ATATCCCCACAGCAGGTTGGCACACAGCTGGTGCCTGGAGGAGGCTGTATACTCATTTTCTGTGCAGGCTGATTTAGGGTACTTGTGAAGAGAAGAGCATTATTTGATACTCTACATTGTTTCCTGGGACAAGTGTGAGGCTTATGAACAGTAAACTTTGTCTGCCTTTAGTGTTTCAAAGCAACAAGCTACTGACGTTCTTCTATACCTCAGGAGCAGGATGCCTCCTTCCCTGTGACAGCTGGATTTTCTTCATTCCACTTGTGATGTAGATACAGACAGCTGGCTCCAAAATGTTGAAGAAAATCAGGGCACTGTCTTACAAATGTAGCCATTCCTCTATGGAGGCAGCTTATTCCTCTGTGGAGGTAGCTGTAAATTTTTTGTCTTGGTTATATGCCTGCAGCAGTCAGAACAGGCTGTCTGTGCTGCTGAGGAGCAGCATAGATGTTCCCCAGGTCATACCCTGTAATGAATATTGGCTTATACAGACATGGATCATCAACATCTTCTAGTGCTGCATAGCAGGGACCCCTGTGAGGCACCAATAACTTGTGGATATAGCTTAGAAGCCGTTGTATGAAGCTTTTGGTCACCTTTGTGTGCTACATCTTGTATTTTGCACATTGGGAAATTTTGTCAGTCCGTATTACCCAGAGTTATTTTTTCAGGTCTGCCACTTCTGTAACTGTTTCTTCATCGGCTAGCCTAACCTCTCAAGACATCTTATACCAATACCAAATCACAGCATGGCTGGAATACTTATGTGATAGTGTCATCTGTCACTGAAACAGCAACAAGGAAATGAGCAGTATTTCAAACTGGAGCAGAATGAGAACAGACAAAACAAGAAGGGATACTGTAAACCTGAATCCCTAACAGGCAGGTGGATATCAAAGCCCTGAGCCTCCAGAGAGCTGCATGTACCAATACCATATTCTATTTGAAGATCACAAGATGGCTGAGGTTGGAAGGGACCTCTGGAGATCATCTGGCTCAAAATCTCTCAGTGAGAACCAGGACTTAACGTCCTCCTAGTCTGCCTAAGCCTTGGAGGGCTTCATTGGGTTAGGTTGTATACAGATAATTTAATAAATGATACTTTCACTGTAACTCCACAAATACAGAGATGGTGGCTTTACAGCAATTTAAACTAATTTTTAAAGACTCTAAGTAACTTAGTAGTCATAGCAATTAAGAAAATGCTCTAAATTCTGCTCAGTTTAGAAATTCAAAACTTGGAAATACTCTCTTGTCATTGTATTCAAGATGTTTTCTGTACTGCATTTCAGCACAAAGTAAATTAGTGGATGAAGAAAAGAAGTGGGAACAAAAATGCCATAGAATTTGTAACAAAATGGCAAAACCCTGCTGAAAGGAATGACAATCACATAGCTGAGCAAAAAGGATCCTGTCACGTGCATCAAGTGCTTCCTTTTCCAGCACCACAGCACAGCCCCATCTCAAATTCTGTCTCTTGAGACACAGGTGCACAGGAGATAGATGGTCTGATGCAATTTATCCATGCAGCCAAGAAATAATGTTCCTTTCCTGATCTACAGGCAAGTCCGGTCATGGATTAGGTGTTTGCATTTCCTCAAGCCACAGCCTACGCTCATGTTGGTACATGATTTCCCAATACCAGCCTTGACTTGCCTTCCAGGTGGCAACTTGACCCATCACTTCTTCTTAAGGCTTAGCCACATATCCAAACAGAGGGCAACCCCCCCAGCATCACCCTCTGGTTGCCTCAGTTTTCCTTAGGAGACTTCTCCCAAGTATTGCCAGTGCCACGCCATCCCAGCAGAATGTGCTGCTCAGCTGTGCAGGTACCTCTGTCTCATCAAGTAGTGTCCCTCATGGAGCACTCAGTTTGGTCAGAGCCCTCTCATAAGCTTCAGTGTTCAGTAATGGGGAAGGGCATGTTTGGAAATAACTCATTTGAAATATATTTGTAGAAAAAATGTAAAGGAGCAAAGCGTTAATGATGGGAAGCCTGGAGCCCTTCTAGATATACAATATTATTTTTACACAAGAACTCTGTAACACTTTAAATTCCAGGGATACGAATGAGTAACTGAGACTGGAATCTGACCTCTTGTGCTTGAAAAATTCATTATTTATTATTAGGATGGAAATAATACAAACAATTATTTTAAAATAATGCTGGCTGGGCTTGGAAAATGCCCATTCAAATAGTGAGAAATAGAAATGTTAAGCTTACCAAGCAAACATAATCTTTCTGCCCAAGTGCATGTCTTATATTCAGTAAGGCAAGGTTCCTGGGGAAAATGACAAGTGTAATTAAAACCTGTCTCATCATGCATACACACAGGGGAGGACAAGCTATGACTGTAATGGTAACTACTCCTCGTAGGTGTTGTGCTTTTAATATGAAGTATTAAATAAAACTTCCTCTGTTTATTAACTGAAATATATTCCTGTATCCTTCTGGCAGTGTCTCTGTCCTGTGTTACAAACAAAGCTGAACTTGAGCTGTACCTTTCAGCATAAACTTTTGTCTTCAGAGGTACAAAGCTACCTACCTGCCTTAGCTGAGACTGTTACAGGGACCTGGAGCACTGATGATGCTGCAAATTATTTTGCACTTTGTAGCTCTGAAGGTTGTTAATTTTCCGTGCTGAAGGTCTCAGGCTTGTTATGGCATGGTGGGGATGCTCCACAACTGATGCAGGAGAAGAGCAAACCCTGCCAGAAGCGTGGTCATCTATTGCCTACAACTGTGAAAGGATGAAGTGATCAACTACATTTTTAATAAAAAAGAGAAGGGAAAGAGGCAGAGCTGGAGGTAGGCACTGGCTTTGGATAGACTGAGCCTGATGTCACTTCAGAAGGGGAAGGTGCTGGGTCTGAAGGAGAGGGAAGCTTTGCTTCACTCTTCCCTTGTATGATACTACCCATGTATGACAGTTACCAGGCACTCTCAGAGCTGTGAGACTATGTAGGCTTTTATGACTTTTATTTCAAATTTGTTTGTTATTTGTTGCCAGAATTCTCCTAAGAAATGTAGACATGAAGTGGTAAATGGTGCTTAATTTAGACAGCCTCAGCAGAGGACTCTTGATGGGCTCCCCATGTAATACAAGAAAGTTAATGAGTTGCTGATGTAGTTTTGTGAGTGAATTGTGTAGCCTGGCTGTTTAATGAAGTGTTTAAAGATTGTGTTGGCAATAGCCTATGAATAACGTATAATTAAATACCTTACTGCTAAGAAACTGCTGATATGCTAGGGAAATTTCCATCAGGTGTGAGAACAATTTTGAATGCACTGTCTTCTTGGGATGCCCTTTATTTTTGGTCTTGCTGCTTCAGAGATCGCATTCCTTTTTTGGATACTGCATGTGAAGATGCCCTCCACTGCCTCTGCCTCTGTCTTCCAGCTTCACCTGTCTCTCTTTGCTTGTGTCTGTAAAACCTCCTGAATTTCAATGAGTTTAGGCTTTATTAACTGAGCACCATAAGCATGGATATATTCGCTGTGCAGTCTTCAGCCATGCTAGGTGTCTGTACCAAGGCACACTGCATCAAAGGCAGATGGATACTTGTTTTGTGTTGTGGCAGTCCCGTGATGCAGGAAGCAGAAACAGGGCCAAGTGATTTTAAAAAAAAAAGACCAGTGTTTCTTTTGCAGGTTTTTGGCACATGGGCTCTTTGTGTGAGATAAGCAACCCCAGAGTGTCACACATGATTGTTCAGATTTTTGCAGTGTGATGCCAGCTCCGATGCCTATAAATTTCCCCTTGTCCTCCTCCAGTGCATGAGGCCTCTTTGCGCTTTGGGCTTGAGTAGTGGGAAGTTGTTGTGATATTAAGCAACTGAATCTTGCTTGACCAAAGAAATAAGAAGATTGAGAGTGAACCCTGGCTTGCAGGGGAGCTCTGGAGGTTGAACTGCCTTAGCTGCAGGAGGAAACAGGCCTTATAAAATACCCCAAGACATAGCTCAGGCAGGCACATGAAGTAATGTCTTCTCCTTTGCTCCTCGTTTTGGCCCTCAGCTATACTAAGGAGAAAATAAAATCATAACTTTGTTTCTCATGTGGAGTTCTCTGTACCTCCACTAAATCTGATACAGAAGTATCAGAGGAGGGCAGGTGAACACAGTATGTATATTATTACTGTCCAGAGTGGTCTCGAGTAAATGTGTGTTAGGAGCAGACCCAGCTTGTGGAGTCTGTAGCTCAGTGCCTTGCCTCTGCTGTGGCTTTGTTATGAGTAGCCTACTGCTCATGCTGCTTTTTTGTCTGGATTTACACAATAGAGCCCTGAGTCAAAGCATTTCCTGCAATATGGGCAGTCTATTATTAGTGTAATGCTAGAATAAAGCCACACGTGATGTCGGTATTAATCGGCTGAGGAAGTGACATCCTCACTTGGGAGATTCGTGTGGTGGTATTTGAAGTCATGTGGTGATGCAAGCTCCAGGCATGAGGCTACAGGGCAGGAGAGATAATGGCTTAAAAGCTGTATCCTTGGCATAATCTGCAACTGGCTAAGCAAGAGGATTTGCCAAAATGGAAGGGAAGATCTGCACTTTTATTGACATGTTTGCTGCTGAGATATTCCTGGGGAGTACAGTATTTTTGCAGCTGCAGGAAAGGTGTATAGAAGGCATTAGTCTAAACACAAGGTAGGTGGCAAGGATCACCAAAGGAGTTTGACTGATGGCCTAAATGTTTTTAGGAGAACAAATAATGAGAAAAGGTATCTAAAACTTCCTCCATCTCCACCATCCAAGACCCGTCCTGCCAGACAAGAAGTGTTTCCAGCAGAGAGGGTCACAATGGTCTAGGCTGAGGATCATGGTCAAGTCCAACCAGCCTTTTGCAGGGTAGAAATGCTGCTGGCTGACAGTATACATGCAAGAGCAGCTTTCAGAAAGAAAGAGACAGTTCTGTTATGCAGTTTGTCACACTGATGCTTTTGAAATCTTCCCATTAATTTCTCTGTTTTTAATTATTGTTTCTTTTAGGTGAAGAGCGAAGGTCCCAAGCTGGTGCCCTTCTTTAAAGCCACTTGTGTCTATTTTGTCCTCTGGCTGCCAACTTCCAGCCCCTCTTGGTTCAGTGCCCTCATCAAATGCCTGCCCATCTTCTGCCTGTGGGTTTTCCTTCTGGCTCATGGAATTAACTTCTTAGTGTCACACCAGAGCGCCAGCCGCATCCTAGCGGGACTCATATTCTCAGCAGTGGGAGATGCCTTTCTCATCTGGCAGGAGCAGGGCTACTTCATTCACGGTGAGTGCGGTGTGGGAGAGGGATGCCACAGTGTCCAGCTGTTACCCTTTTTATTTAGTTATGAGTTGCTGGGCCATGTGTTTTGTTTATTAATGTATAGCTTAAGCCCTGGGCAGTGGGAAGCACTCATCCTTCGACTAAAATTCATCATGGTTAGAGGAGTCACATAGCATGGATGAGTCTTTCTTTTGAGGTTTTCCTGAGGTTAGAGAGATAACTGGGACAGGTTTGGTTCCCTGGCACGTGCTCACAGCATACTAGCTGGCTGGAGCTGGGAAAGTGGCATGGGCAGAATCCCTGGGGAAGAGAAGGAAATGCTCGTGGCACTTGGCAGTTCCCAAGAAGCTGTGGGAAGTTGTATGGGACCTCCTATGTCTCTGCAAGGAGATCTGTCAGTCCTTCGCTACAAGGATCAAAAATAGGACACATGGTGCAAAGATCCCCAGTTCAGAGCAGGTGAAGAGGACCTTTATGCTTTGATAGACAAGTCTGTAGCCTGGGGGAGGTGTCAGAAAGTGGATGTTAGAAACCAAAACATCAGAAATCTTGTCCTACTTGCAGGTTCATCATTATGAATCATGCAGCCTGTTGTACAAGACATGTCTGTTTTGCAAGACATGTAAATGATGGGGAATCAAGGACAAATCTTACCACAGTGGCCTGTCTTCTCTATAGAAAGATCTCTCAGTGCAAACAAGCTTGTTTTATTTTACTAGTTTACAGATAGATAGGACATAATGATTTAATCATTTAAAGCCACATTGGACCTGCCTGCAGCAACTCTCTCCCTGGCCTTGGACTGTCACAAGAAATCAGCAGCATGAAGTCCTTCACTAAACTGACTGGTGGGGTTTCTGAAGTTAATTCAACCAGCGCAGGGATCTCATGTAACACCCACTGTTAACTGCCTCTTGTGACTATCCCACTGCAAAATGTGATAAGATGGGGGAAGTTTCCTGACTTGTGCTGTTGTCAGCTCTGAAAGTCAAAGGCTTATTTTCTTCCCTCTCATGAGGTCAGTATTTGGTTTTATTCTGGTGTTCCCACAGTTGTTTCTTTATGAGAGGGAAGTGTGTACAATGCCAGTTATGAAAGGCCAAATGCTCTGAATCTGGTTTTAATTCTGCTTCCCAAGGGCTTATCCCAATCTCATTAAAAGTCCATATAAAAACCGTTACGGATTTTGGTGGGATTTAGATTGGGCCCTGAGGATTGGATTTATCTGGGCATGTTGCTGAGGAGCTCTAACCTTCTCTGGAGGTGCATCCCTTCCGTGCTGAGTGTTGGCATTCTCACTAGTGGGCCTCCTCCTAACAGGGGTAAGCCAGCGTGGAGCAGGTCACCTCAGCCCAAGGGTATATGCTTCTATTTTGCCACCTGGAGTTGCTCCTTGTGCTGTGGCTTGGAAAATATTCAAGGCCTGATTCTCACCATGATAATTTTTATACACATGGACTGTTCTGAGCTTCTCCATTCCCGCATAGCTGGGATGTCTCTTGAGTTCCCTCTACAGTCTAGCACTAGAGGAAGGTCAGCCAGTTACAGGAATTCACTGTCTGTTAATCAGTTATCATATCTGGTTAATGTGTTTTAATCTGCAAATAAGTCGTATTTCTGACCCTAGCCTCACAACTGAGAAGTGTTTCTTTGGGGGTTTAGACACATTTTTCTTCTTATGGAGAAGAAAAGCTGTCTTGGAGCATTTTAAAAAGTCAGCCTTCATTCTGGCTGTGTCCTGCCTGCCTCAGTCTGTGCTAATCCAAGTTACCGTCTTCTGTAGCGAGGTGTTAACATTTGCGTTTCAGCAGTTAGCAGATAAAGTGCACCACCCCACTTCATCCTTCACCTCTCCTGCAAAAGGTATTTTCTCCTGTTTAAAACTCAGCAGGCTGCTGTTGTTGACAGCTGACAATATTCAACCTTTTGACACTGTTTGTGGGAATTTGAAATTTCAGGAGAATAAGAGGAAATACTGGATAGAAATGTGCTTTCTGTTCAATTTCTACAGCTTTTGGGATGGAAAAAAAAAAGATTTGGGAACTGGGCTGATTTGAATGGCTTTTGAGACAATGATTTTATAAAAGGACATTTGTTCACTACTTTACAGGGAAGTGAGAGCCTGGGAAACTGCTCTTGGCAGGCTTGTTTTTTTTCATTTTTGCCATTTCAGTCCGCTAATAACATGCTGTTTTCGGACTAGTGTCTTATCTGTAGAAGATACTTTACAGTGTTAACATCCACCTCCTTCGACAGCAGGCGCTTAGAAACAATTTATGCATTTGATGAAGGAGACAGGGACTAGCAAAAAAGCCTTACTGCCAGCCTAAGGGGAAACTCCAGGGGCATGGAGAGGGAAGGAAACCCCAGGGGAAGGAAGTGGACTGAGAGGAGTAGGGCTTATCTACCTGATGTGGTTGAGGGGGTCAAGCCAAAAGCTGAGAAATGCAAGAGAAACTCACCCCCACTCTGTGCGCAGCTGTCACAGGATTCCGCAGTTCCTGACATTTTTATGTGTGTTGAATGAGCAGTCCTGGGTGCTGACTCCCTTGTTTGTGACCAGTCTCACCACATATCACAAAACTCCTCCTACCTTGCTGGGCTTCTGCTTGGCTGCCACATCCTGTCCTCCTCTCCTCCTTCTCCTTGTTGCCAGCTGCCTGCATGAAGAGCAACACATTCTTCAGTTCCTCATCCCAGAACTCTCCATATAATGCCACTTAAGGAAAAAACACTCCTCACTACTAGGCAGTCACCTTCTTTTTACTGTGCCAGGGCTCTAACCTTTCCTGTACTGTAACACTATAAACAGTTCTTATCCTAAATCCCTCCTTGGTTTCCTCAGTGCTGTGCTCATGATGTGTAATAGCTCCGTGGAACATCAACTTCTCATTGTACCCCTATGCACTTCCTTCCCCTTTTCACTGTCCATTTTCTCTAGACTCATCTCGCAGACCAGATTCCCACCAGTCCCCTCCCTCCTGCAGGTTCCCCTCTCATCCCATCATGGCTAAGGGAGACACTTTCCCTTCTTTGAGCTGCTTCAGCTGCTCAAATATTAGGATGAAGAAATGTCTGCCAGCAGGTGGTTTAGTGACTGCCCTTTATACCACAGCATCATGCTTTCAATGTAAACAAGTGTCCTGCTGGAGGACTCAGCTTCCCAATTCCTTTTCTCCATTTCATGCTTTAGAGCTGCATGAAAACTTCCAGCTACTCTAATAACCCTGCCAAGATAAAGTTGGACAGCTTGCAGCTGCACCATGTGTGGGTCTGAGAATCAGAGGACCAGAGGAGCTGGACTCAGTTTGGGGCCCATTATCTACAACTGGCATGACAGCTAGTAGTCAGCAGCTGTACCAATACTTTTGAAGAGAATCTGGTATTTTATTTTCACTCATTGATTCCAGCAAAGGTTCATCTGAATCTTGCAGATAGCCATAAAATTGTTGGCAGATCACACTGGTGCAGTCCCTGAAATACGCCAGCTGCTTCTGTCCAGCTTAGGTTTCTCCTAGCTGTGGGCAGAGATGGAGTAGAAGCCAGATTTAGTCCCTGAGAACCTTTGGGTTTGTGGCTAAATACTGTCAGGCTTTTCGTCTGAATTCGGAGGGATTGGTATCTTTTTTCACATTTTGTTTCTACACTGCTCTGACTCCAGCCTTCCTGTTCCACATGTGGCCTATGAGCAAAACACTTGGATAGTTAGAGGATTGATCGTTGGTCTGCCTTGCTCACACCCTTCTGTCCAAAGCAGGGGAGGAGGAACCACCTGAAAAACAAGCTTTGTTCCTTCTGCAGCAGCCTAGTTCATCCAGCCTCTCAAGAAAAACATTTGCATCACAACAAAGCTGTCCTTGGCTGCAGTTGTGTATGTGCTGGGCTTTTTTCTTAGGGTGCGAGCTTGTGCTAAGGCTTATCTCCTATGAACAGATTTTTATGTTAAAATGATCCCAAGTGGTCAGTAGGGTTCCCACTGATATTGTTGAGTTGTAATGCTACAAGGACATCTAAGCCTGTGCTTGTTGTGGTGTATTTGAAACCCAATATAGTTACATGTTTTCTTCTGCTACCACCTGCCAGTCACTGACAAAAGGTCACACTTGCTATGTCAATGCGTCTTTCCAGGTTTGCTGATGTTTGCCATCACACACATCCTGTACTCTTCAGCCTTTGGCATGAAGCCTTTGGACCTCAAAGCCGGCTTGTTGATGGGCCTCGTTTCCAGTTCCTGTTATGCCTTCCTGTACTACTACCTCTCAGGCCCATTCACCTACCTGGTAGCTGTCTACATTGCCTTGATTGGCTTCATGGGCTGGAGAGCAGTCGCCGGCATGCAGCTGTGCAACGACCTCTGGACATGGACCAAGCTCTCGGCCTGCATAGGAGCGATGCTGTTCATGGTGTCGGATCTGACCATTGCACTTAACAAATTCTGTTTTCCTGTGCCCTACTCACGCTTCATCATCATGGCTACCTACTATGCAGCCCAAATGCTTATTTCACTCTCAGCTGTAGAGAGCAGAGATGAAGAGGACTTCAGAAAGAGGAGCTAGGTGGAGTGCCAATAGTCTGTGAACAATGTGGGCTATATCTCAGGTGCTGTAGCTGCATTCACCCCTGAGAGAGATCTCCATTTCTCTAAGCACATTGGTGATGTTGATTTTGCTTCTTTGAAGCATCACCTTTGGGGATTTTTTTTTCCAATGGCTTTCTCTGAATACAGCTTACTTCAGTGTGGAGTCCTCATCAGAAAGCTTAGACTGTCCCTGCAATAGCTACTCAGTCAACTTTTCCTCCTTGGAAGTGCTGCACTACTGCATTACTTGTTAGTCTTGAAACTGATGCTGAATGTCTGGGATGAGGAGGGCTGATGGAAAGGAGGTTTGGCCATGCACTGTGCTGGAAGACTTGCTTTCCCTAGTAAACAGACAGGCACATGTCTCTGGTAAAATCATAGGTAAAAACTAATTGACGTTTGTCTCTTTTTGTGTATTACTTAGTATTGCAAACTGGAGCTATTGCCTCTGCTGAAAGAAAACCTGGAGTTCGAGTAAAAACACCAAAATCCAGATAAGGGATGAGCTTTGGAGTCAACAGCAGGAAGTGGGGCAGCCCCAAGCAGAACCAGAACGGAAGCAAAACGCCAGACAGAGAGCACAGACCAAGAGGTGTGCTGACATGCAGTGCTGTGTGCTTTGATCGTGGTTCATCACTGCTCCAGGGCAGGTCTGTGGATGCAAGTCAGCATTGTCATGTGTGGCAGAACTAGGAGTTTGGTGGGATTCCAGGGACATCTAGGTAGCCAGGTCACTGTGTTCTCCGCTGTCATTCATGTGCAGTTACATACTGTCTGCCGCCACCAGTGTCACCTGAGACGTAATGGGCACATGAGGAACTTTGAGCTTGTGTCTTAGTAATGTATGTCCTAATTATCCTTAATATGGCAGACAAGAATCTGACTTTTATGCCTTTCTTTCCCAGTATCCTAACAAATAATATTCCATATACTCATTAAGCTTTACAATGCCATTGCTTGCAGTATCTGTCTTGAATTTTTATGTGAGCATTTCCTCTGTAGAAAGCCCGATTTTGGATGTATACTGTTGCCAGCTGGTGGTAACAGTCAGCTTTGCACCACTTGTTTTCAGAAAGCCTCTTTCAGCAGGGCTTCCTGAAAAGCACTGAAGTATGTTCAAAGTGCCTGCCGCTTCCTTCTCAAGCTCACATGGATGCAGTGAGAATGTGCCATCAGGGCTGTTTAATTCTGGTCAGAATGCTTTGGATTTGTCTGCCCATCTGAGGATCAAGATTAATTCTGACTTAGTTCCTCCTTATAAAGAGGAAGAGGTTGCCCTGATTTTTAATCTAAGTTCATTTGTGACCATATGTGTATTTTTTCCTCTTATTTAGGATATTTCATAGCAAACTCTCTTTCTGTTTGAAACTATCTTGAATGTACATTTTCTTTCTGGCCCTTTCCTACAGCCACTCTCATGGGCTGAGATGCTCCCCCAATGATTTAAGACATGAAGGTACTCAGGTGTGCAAAGGAAGCTGGCTGAAGGTTCCTGCACCTCTTCAGATCTGCAGGCAAAAGGGACAACCAGTGCAGACTGCACAACTTGAATCCATGTGCCCCAACAGCCCCTTGCACGCAGGCAGAGAGAGCAGGAGGGGCAGCCCTCCAGACCAGTCTTGTGGGCTGAAAATCATCACAGACTCCATACCTAGCATGCCCAGACCATTCCAGGTTAAAGCCTGGCACCGAGTCCCTGGCACAGTCGGCAGAGCAAGAATTCCTCTTTGTAGAGTGCGGCAGGGTCAGGGGGCAGTGAAGGAAAACTTACCAACCCTGCTAGCTTTTCCCTTGGTGTCAAAAGTTGCTCCGTGGATCTCCTCCTCCTCGCTGGCCTTGCATGGTGGGACTGGGTGGGCAATAGGCATTACCTCCCCATGACTCCTGCATTAGTGCAAATGCAGCCAGTATGACAAAAATCTAGGTTAACCATCCTGATCCCGTGAAGTCTTCTGCTGCTTTTCAGTCAGACAGAAAGGTCAGCTGCATTATTGAGAGGGAAAGCATAGTAAATAGCATAGCCCTGTGTAATCTCTTCGCTTTAATGCTGTTGTGTAATATTGTAAGGATTCATTCACTGGCACACCAGGGCCTGCCTGGAGTAAACTAGTAAGGGAATTTAGAGCCATAAAACATCTTCATTCATCAGCACTGCTTATCTCCTGGCCACAGCTTGAATCCAGCAGTGTAGCTCTGCAGATGTCACCTGCTGCTACTCGGCTTGAGTGTTTGCAAATTAATTCTTGCAACAGGCTGACCCAGCTAAGAAGAAATCTAAGCATTTGGGGTGAAGCCCACTGTTCTCCCAGCATGGGAGCAAACAGCACGTATCAATCTGATTTACAGCTCCTTGACATGGGTCAGTCCAGCACATTTGGTCCTTAGCTGGCACTTCTTCAGGTGGGCCCCCTGCACCCTGAGCTTCCCTTTACTTTGAGGAGAATGACTGCATGTTAAAGAAAGCTGTTTAAAAGTTAGAATTTTGAGTCTTTCTTCCCTAGAAATGAGTAGTCTTCAGTTTCCTGGAGATGGCCAAGTTGCTTTTCTGTGTCCATTTTCATCCTGGCTGGCTTTGTTATCCTGCTTCACCATCAGCCACTGGGCAGTTGCAGAAATGGATCTTTTAAATGCTATGAGGAGACCTGCCCGTTCCTCCCCACTTGTCATCAGAGGTGCAGTTTCTGGTGGCAGAGTTCTCTGGGTAGCTCTAGCTGGGACAGCAAACATGTGCAGCTCAAGTGGGCTGTTGTTCCCTCACTGTCCTCTCATCTGGAGTGGGCTGGCTGGCATACATCCTGGCCAGCCACGCTGGCTCCATCCCAGTGCTGCAATGGCTTCAGACTTCCCAGGAACATGAGGCAGAGCCCTCAGCATACAAACTCAGGGAGAGTCCTGGCTGGCTCCGAGGTTTGCTAGCAAAGGCTCTCAGTCTTCAAAATCTCTCTCCCACTCTGCAATCCTTCTTTTAATCCATATACTTGAATGAGGCGATTTGCCTGGAGGCTCGTTCCTGCTGGGAAGAGACCACCTGCTGTGGATACTTATCGATACAACTTTTGAGGTTCATAAACCCTGAGAAACACTAAGCAATTGCTGATAGTCCATTAAATACTTTTTCTTGGGATTAAAGCTGTTCCCTTAACCCCAGTGAGGACAATCTCACTTTGCAAGGGAGCAAACAAGAAGTGGGAACAACGTGACTTTTTGTGGTACTGCCTTTGTGGGCCTTCCTGTTGTCTCTTTGCACTGTAAAACTGCGAGGTTTGATTCATTCTTCTCCTTTTCAGGGGTACAGTCTTTGAGAAGCACCCAGTCTTTGGCCCAGGGACATCAGAGGGAATGAAGCCTCCTAGTGGTGTAGCGTGCCTGGCCCCAGCAGCATCAGCTCCTTTGCCTGCTAAATACAGAGGCTTTCTTTTCACACTGCTGTATTCAAACATCCTCTGCAATTCCTGTCTATGATCTTTAGAGGTTCCACACATGGTTCAATTGCTTTTGCTCTCTTTCCTTTCTGTAGCTGTTATCCTCTTTGAGATCTTTGAGATCCTTTGGCCCCTCATTTGGACAGATAAAAGATGTAGCACATATATTTCAGCTCTGTATCTCTGTAGATAGATCCTCCTCACACAGAACTCTCAGTGAAGTCAGAGAAGCAGTGTTAATTGCAACTCTTTTACTAAAGCACATTACTAAAATACTAGTAATGCTTCTGGGTTATGCCAGTCACACTGACATCAGCAGGCTGAAGTTCGTGTAGAAATGGCAGGTTGAGAAGAACAAAGCCAGAGGATTCTCACAGCTTAATTCCTGCTCTAAGAAAATTGTATTCATGCTTGATGCCTGGCTTCATACTCCTCTGTACTGAGGCAGCTCTAAGACTGATTTGTTTAAAAATTATTCTAACATGGCTTTTAAGTAGATATTGCTGAAGGTTTCATGTTGTAATCCATGGAGATAATTTTTACACAAGAATATAAAATTTCCAGGACAAACTTTGCAGAACTTTTAGTGACTCTTTAGAGTTTTCTGTTCCTGTAGTTTGATACTAACTGTAGGTTTTCAGCTTGCTATCATGGTAATTTTGGGAGCAATTCTGGAAGAAGCAGATCAAAGCAAACAGCAACTGTAAAGCTCAGTGGTAGGTGCCTCTTTCTTTTTGCTTAGTTTCTGGATACAGACAGGGGCTCTTTTTAGCAGAGGGGTCACAACTGTGTTCTGGGAAGAGGAAAGGAAGTTCCAACTTCTCATGACAGAAGTTCTCTTGGGTACTTCTCCTGCCTTTTATCAATGCTTTATCCTTTTGTGGCCTTTGGTAAGTCACTTAAATTTTTTAGGGCCAGGTCCTCATGTGGTGTAAAAAGGCATCTGTGTATGAGGGCCAGTGCTATGCCAAGTTACAACAGCACAGGACCAGGCCCTCACCCCGTTTCTAAAATGGGGATATTGGCACTTACCTACCTACCTCACAAGGATGCTATGAGTATTAATGATCATACAGTGCTTTGAAGATGTAAAGTGCTATGTAAGTCCCAAGTATTATCTTACCTTAGTGTTAAAAAAGCTTTTAGGGATCTGTAGGACTTTCCTTAAAGCACAGAACATGTGACTACCTGTTCAGTTTGCATCAGATGGAAAGAAAATGCAAAATTTTTATTTATACTAGTTAACAGGATGGGCTCAGCTGCTCTTGAACTCTGAGGAGGGTTTAGCTTAAAATCCTGAACTGTAATTTCAGTTTTGCAGATGGTTTTTAGGTCTTCTAAAAGCCTCAACCAAATTCTTAGATATGAGTCTTACACCCAAATTTTGCAGTCTGGCTTATCCCTGACTTAGCTAAAATAAACCTAATCCAGCCAAAACTCAGTGCTCTCACAATCTGCTATGGCTGTTGAAAAGACTGGGACAGAAAAGGAAGTCATTCTTTTCAACCTTCATTCTGCAGAAGGTCAGCTAGGTTTCATGGGACAACCTGCAAAGGGATGTTTAATTTCTGTGATTGTAAGTTTTCTGGCTTTAATCAGGAGAGGGAAGGCCTTGATGAAATCAATAAGGTCATCATATCCTTCTTGAATTACTTTTCAACTGAATCAAAGAATTAGCAGATTCTGTCATGAAGGAAGTGCTTGTATCACTAGTTCTATGGCCCAGAACAAATGTAGATCTAGAAATACAGCTCTAAACCATCACCATGCTCTCAACTAGTATAAAAATACCACTGTTCACTGGTTTCAGATTTGGACCACAGCCAGAAGCTACTTGGTTCTAGTAGCCTTAGCTGCTGCACAAACACAAATGAAGGAGAGGAATTACACACCAAGAAATATGAGCTGTGTACATGTGAAATGGACCATAATTTAGAAGCAGCTGCAGTAAAATCTTAATACGAACTCAG